AGCTGTAGGCGCTGCAGCTGTTGCTGCACATGGTGTTGCCTTTGCAGCAGGGTTGCGTGTGGTGCACTCAGTTGCTTGTGTTGCTGCTTCTGCTGCTGCTGCTGCTGCTGCTGCTGCTGCAGGTGCGGCGTCTGTTTACAGGGCACCACGGAGGGATGCCGCTGCAGTCGCGCGTTGTCTCTGCAGCAGCAAAGGAGACATTTAGTTCTTTAGGGTCTAAGCTGTCTCTTATTGGCTCAGGAGACAGAGGGAGGGGCCCCACCAGCCTTCCTGTGTCTACTGCTGCTACAGCTGCTGCAGCATCTGCTGCTGCGGGTTCTGCTGCAGCGTCAGGTGCAGGCCTTGCCAGCACTGCTGGCTCGCTCACCCCTGTAGGTGGAGACACAGCAGCAGCAACACCAGCTGCTGCTGCTGCTGTAAATGCTGCTGCTGCTGCTGCAGGCTCGCTCAAGGCTGCTGCCGCAGCCGCGGCAGCAGCAGCTGCAGCAGCGGGGGTCGCAGCAGCAACAGCAGCAGCAGGAACCCCCGCCAAACCCGTTGCGGAGGAGGCCCGCGCACAGCAGCAGCAGCAGCAGCAGCAAGGCGCAGCGGGGGTTGCTTTGCAGCAAGCAGGTGGTGCGCCTGTTGCTGCCAGTCAGGGAGAACTACTAGCAGCAGCAGCAGCGCCGGCGCAGCAGCACATTCCAGAGGCAGCAAGACCAGCAGCAACAGCACCAGGACCTGCTGCAACGGGACAAGCTGCTTCGTCTACGACAGGAGTATCCCCTGCAGCGGCAGCTCCTGCAGCAGCAGCCCCGTCACCAACAGCAGCAGCAGCAGCAGCCCCAGCAGCAGCGGCAGCAGCCCCAGCAGCAGCAACACCCCCAGCAGCAGCAGCGGGAGGCACTCAGTGCATCTCTCTCCCTTCTGTATCTCGCGGTGCTACTCCGGGGGCTAAGTTGGGGGAGCGGATTGGGATCGCTGCAGCAACAGCTGCAGCAGCACCAGCGGCAGCAGCAGCAGGAGCAGCAGCAGCAGCAGGAACGCCTGCAGCGCGAGGGACTGCTGGGGGCGCAGCTGGGGCAGCAGCACCGACGGCCGAGTCCGCCGGAGCAGCAACAACTCCAGCAGCAGCAACTCCAGCAGCAGCAGCTCCCGCAGGAGCAACTGGCACAGCAGCAGCAGCAGCAGCAGCGCCTGCAGCAGCAGCAGCAGCAGAGAGCAGCAGCAGAAACCCAGGGTCTATGAAGGTGTGCGACTTTGACCGGTCTCTGAGGCCTGACTTAGATGTTCATTTGCTGCTGAAGGGACAGCCTACGCCGCTGCATCCGCGGCAGCAACAGCAGCAGCACCAGCAGCAGCAGCAGCAGGGAGACGGAGACGCGGAGAGCCCTGCCTATGTCTCCGACTGTGGGGCTGAACTGGGGGCGCTGCCTTCTGTTGCTTCTTTATCTGGCACTTTAGGGTCTTTGATTCGGGAGCATGCAGCAAAAGAAGCGGGAGCAGCAGCAGCAGCAGCAGCAGCAGCAGCAGGAGAGCAAGATCTTCACTCATGCCCTAAGTGCCACCGCCCGCTGCTGCTGTGTCCCAGTTGCAGAGGGAGGTCTCTTCAGCTATGTTTGCTGCAGGGACAGGTGGTGATTGAGTGCAGCAACTGCAGCAACCAGCACGAAGCTGCAGCAGCAGCAACGGCGGCAGCAGCAGCAGCCTCAACAACAGCCACACTCGCAAGCGCGGCATCTGGACCCACAGCAGCGGCAGCAGCGGCAGCAGCAGCAGCAGCAGCAGTAGCAGGAGACGCGGCTTCTACACCCCACAGGACCCAGGAGGGACAGCAGCAGCAATCAGAGACAGCAGATTCTGCAGCAGCAACGGATTCCACCGTGGCTGCAGCAGGTGCGAGCAAGCCCCCCCCAAGCAGCAGCAGCAGCAGCAGCAGCAGCAGCAGCAGCAGCAGCAACAGTGGTTCTGTTGCGCGACGTGGGGTGTATACGCACTGCTGGGAGTGCAACTGGGACTTCAGCCGCAGCACAGAGCTGCTGTCTGTTGCTGAGACATCTTTAGACGGGGTCTTATTAAAGAAAGGCAAACATCTTCATCAGTGGCAGGCTCGCTTCTATGTTCTTATTGATAATATGCTCTACTATTATAAGAAAAAAGTAAGCAGCAGACACCACAAAGGAGACAGACACCACAAAGGAGACAGTAATAAAGAGACGGAGACAGAGACAGTAGAAGGCATATAATAGATGAAGCAGAGGCGAGAGACGCAATTAAAGAAACAGATAAAAGAATGTAATAAAGAGGCATATTAACAACAACAGACAAACACTTAAGGGGAGACAGAGGCAGACTAGAGCTGGAGAGAGACACAAGGAGACAGACAGGAGGAGACAACAAGAGACACACAAAAGGAGACAGACACCTGAGGGCTGAGGACTTCGCGGTAGCGGTGCCCCAGCGCTGCTCTTCCCTCCTATCTTCCGCCTGGGGCCAGGGTTTAGGGTTTAGGGTTTAGGGTTTGTGCGCAGGGCGACGCGAAGCCTCGAGGGTTTATGTTCTTAGAGGGGTGCTTCGTGGAGACGATCCCAGACGCGGGGGCCCTCAGGCCCCACGGCATTGCTATCGTACACCCCAGAGGAGACTCAGTAGCCAGGAGGGTCTTATATGCGCAGTCGGCACAGGTATGTGCTGCTGCTGCTGCTGCTGCTGCTGCTGTTGCTGCTGTTGCTGCTGTTGTTGTTGTTGCTGGTGGTGGTGGTGGCGTTGCTGCTGCTGTGCGTAGGCGCCCGTGGAGGGCGTCCGACCAGCCGTGATACGTTGTTGCTGCTGCTCTTAATGCAGCTGCTGCTGCTGCTGCTGCTGTTGCTGCTGCTGTTGCTTCAGGAGCAGCAGCAGTGGGTAGACGCCCTGCGGGCATCCACTCGCCAGCAGTCTCTGGAGCATTTCTACGAAGTGCACGAACAGCTGGGTCAAGGTAATTCTAACAGCTAGCTACGTAGCTAGCTAGCTAGCTGCCAGGCAAACACCATAGTTAGCTAGTTAGCTAGCTAGCAACACAGCAGGCAGCTAGCTAGCTAGGTATCTGTGTAGCTACCTGGCTCACCATTCAGTTGCACTAGCGCTTCGCTTATCGCGCGCGAGCTGCTTGCTGCTGCTGCTGGTGAGGTGGATGGGTATGTAGCTGGTTATGTAGCAGGCAAACAATTCTGTCTATATCAATATATAGATCTATATAGCTAGCTATCTATCCATCTAGCTAGCTAGCTATCTAGCTATCTATCATATATCCATCTACCTACCTACCTATCTACCTACCTACCTACCTACCTAGGTAGCTAGCTAGCTAGCTAACTAGCTAGCTAGCTAGCTTGCTAGGTAGCTAGCTAGCTAGTTGTGTGTAGGTATTGCGTAGATACTGAGTGCGTTGATTGCATGCAGGGAAGTTCAGCGTGGTGTATCGAGGAGTGCACAAAAAGACAGGAGAAGAGGTAGCGATTAAAGTAATTGATAAAGGAAAGATCAACAGACACGAGAAAGAGCTGCTGAGAAGCGAGATGGTTATTCTTAGACTTCTCAACCACCCTAACGTCATTCGTCTTAAGGTAACAAACATAGCACTGCTCCTGCTGCTCTTACTGCTGCTTCTCCTCCTGCTCTTACTGCTGCTGCTCCTGCTGCTCTTCCTGCTGCTGCTTCTCCACCTTTTGTTGCTGCTCTTCCTGCTGCTGCTTCTGATTCTGCTGCTGCGCGTTGTTGCTGCTGTTGCTGTTTCTGCTGCTGCGCGTTGTTGTTGTTGTTGTTGCTGCACGTTGTTTTGCTGCTGCTACTGGTGGAGTGTATGTGAAAGGACACAATATCTGCGCGGCTGTGTTGCTGTTTCGGGTGGTGCTGCTGCAGCAGCAGCAGCACTACCTGGTGCTGCGGCTGCATCTGCTGTTGCTGCTGCCAATGGTGCTGCAACAGCAACAGCAGCAACAGCAGCAGCAGGGTGGGGTTTGTTTGAGAATGAATGCGTTTGCTTCAGGAGATGGTCGATACAAAGGAGACACTTTATATCGTCATGGAGCTCGTCAGGGGGGGAGAGCTCTTCGATTTAATTCACGCCAACCACCACCTCCCAGAGGTCCACGTCAACAGGTCTGCTGCTGCTGTTGCTGCTGCTGCTGATTCTGCTGCTGCTGCTGATTCTGCTGCTGCTCCTTCTGCTGCCTCTGCTGTTGCTGCTGAAGCTGGTGCTGCTTCTGCTGCTGCTAGAGTTGGTTCTGCTTCTGCTAGAGTTGCTGCTGCTGCTGCAAGAGTTGCTGCTGCGGTTTGTTTGTTTTATTGTAGCTGTCTCCTCCTATATATGTTTTTAGTGTAGCTGTATCTCCTCTTATCTGTGTCTTGCCTCTCTATATTTGAGTATATCTCTGTCTCTTTCTGTCTGCTGCTGTCTCTGTTTATTTTTTTAAATAGCTTTGAAGGAGACACAATATATATACATACATATATACATATATATACATATATATATATATATATATTTGTGTGGGGTGTATACAGGATAGTATCTCAGCTGCTGTCTACAGTATTTTATTTACACAAGTGTGGAATCATCCATAGAGATTTAAAACCTGAGAATATATTATTAACAGACAAAACAGAAAACGCTACCATCAAACTCGCAGACTTCGGCCTCTCTACGCTCTGCGGCCCAAACGAATTCCTTCATCAGCCCTGCGGCACACTCGCGTAAACATACACTCACTGCTCTTATTATCCTCCTGCTGCTGCTGATCCTGCTGCTGCTGATCCTCCTGCTGCTGCTCATCCTTATCCTGCTCATCCTGCTGCTGCTGATCCTGTTGCTACTGCTGATCCTGCTGCTGCTGATTTTGGTGCTGCTGCTGGTCCTGCTGCTGCTAATTTTGGTGCTGCTGCTGATCCTGCTGCTGCTGCTGATCCTGCTGCTGCTGCTGATTTTGGTGTTGCTGCTGCTGCTGCTGATCCTGGTGCTGATGATGATTATGATGGTGGTGCTGCTGTTGTTACTGCTGCTGCTGCTAGTACTGCTGCTTTTCCTTGCCCTGCTTTTTGTACTGCTGGCTTCAGTGCTGCAGCTGATGCGAATGATGCTAGCTGCTGCTGCTTCTTGTGCTGCTTGTGCTGCTTGTGCTGCTGGTGCTTGTATGCTTTGATACTGTTTCTAATGAGCCGTTTCTTTCTCTGGGTTAATCCATTGTATCTTTTTTGAACCACATTTAGGGTCTAGGGTCTAGGGTCTAGGGTTTAGGGTTTAGGGTTTAGGGTTTGCGGTTTAGGTACGTTGCACCTGAGGTATTATCTCTTGAGGGATACAATCAACAAGCAGACCTCTGGTCTGTTGGTGTTATTACTTATCTTTTGCTGCGGGGGCGTCTGCCCTTCCCTATAAATAAACACTTAGGTTCTCCTCACTTCCATCAGGTACACCCTAAACCCTAAACCCTAGTGTTGCCCCTGAAAACCAAACAGGCATCAGCAATACGCTACCTGCTAACTTCATAGCACCACTGCGGATCTGCTTTCTTCTTCAGCTAGGGTTTAGGGTTTAGGGTTTATTGCTGTCTGTTTATGTGGGGTGTATTATTAGGGTTTATGCTTATCTGTTTAGTATATTTTTTATTTCATTTTTTTAAGGCTTTGTTTGTATAGGGTGTATGGTGGTGCATGCAGCAGAATCTCTTCTCTGAGTTAGTGTTTCTTTACTATATAAGGGGTGTATATATATAATATATATATACATATAATATATATATATATATATATATATATATGTTTGTATGGTGTATCTATATATATATGTATCTTTTAAGAGTTCTTTTCTTGCGTGTTTCTGTTTTAAGCTTTTTATAGCTAATACCAAGTGCGGGGTGTGGGGTGTGGGGTGTGGGGTGTACAGACATATCCTTTGTCTTTTGATGGGCCTTTATGGCGCCCGGTCAGCAGCAGCGCGAAGGATTTAATAACGAAAATGCTGTCTCCTATTCCTCAGCAAAGAATTACAGTAGAGGAGGCGCTGCAGCATATATGGATCCGCAACCCCACAGCAGTTATTAATGAAGCAAATAAAACTGATCCATTTGATCATATCAGTCAGCTGCTGCTGCTGCTGCTGCTGCTCATGCTGCTGCTGCTGCTGCTCATGCTGCTGCTGCTGCTGCTGCTGCTGCTCATGCTGCTGCTGCTCATGCTGCTGCTGCTGATGGCCCTGTTGTTGCTGCTGCTCTTGATGGTGGTGCTGTTGCTGTTGCTGCTGCTGCTGCTGCTCCTGGTGATGGCACTGTTGTTGTTGCTGCTGCTGATGGTGGTGGCGCTGTTGTTGTTGCTGCTGCTGGATGCGATGCTGCAGCCGCTGCTGCTGGGCTTTGGCTGCTGCTGAGGGGGTATTTTTTTATTTGTTTTGTTTAGTCTTTGGGCAGTGCTTGGGTCAACGTGCTGCTCTTTTTGCTGCTGCTGCTGCTGCTGCTGTGCTTGCAGATCCTAGTGTACAGCCAATTGACCCGCATGCACTTGCTGCAGCTGATGGGGCCTCAACGTTTACTATCCCCAACGCCCATAACAGGCTGGCGCAGCAGCGAGCGCAGCAGCAGCAAGCCAAGACTGCCGCTGCTGCTGCACCTGCTGCTGTTGCTGCTGCTGCCGCTCCGGCAGCAGCAGCAGCTGCTGCTGCCGCCCCTGCGGCCGTCAGAGCAACAGCAGATGCACACGAAAAAGATTCAACTGGGGCAGTACCAGCAGATGCTGCAAAGGTTGCTGCAGCAACTGCAGCAACAGCAGCAACAGCAGCAACGCATGGGGCTCTTGCTGCAGCCAACGCCGGCAGCACGCTGGCCCAGCCAGCAGCAGCAGCAGCAACTGCTGCTGCTGCTGCAACAGACGCTACGAAGGCCGCGGCCTCAGCAGCACAGCCAGCAGCAGCGGAAGAGAACAGCAAAACCAAACAGCCGCAGGCAGCCCAGCCGCAGGGAGCAGCAGCAGCAACAGCAGCAGCAGCAGTAGCAGGAGAGCAGCACGAAGCACCTGCTGCTGATAGGCATACCCCAGCGACTGCGGCTCCTGCTGCTGGCGTTGCTGCGGAGACCGCAGCAACTGCAAAGGAGACAGCGAAAGCAGCAGCAGCGGCAGCGCACTCAGCAGCAGCAGTGGCACAGGCTGCTGCTGCTGCAGCTGCGTTGCATGCAGCAGCAACAGACGAGGCCTTTGCTGCAGTGCAGCGGGGGCCTAGCGGCGATAGTGTGGGGCGAAAGCCTCATCAGCCTGAGCAGCAGCAGCAGCAGCAACAACAGCAGCAGCAGCAGCAACAGCAGCAACAGCAGCAGCAGCAGCAGCATCACGTTCCAGGCGTGGCCCCAGTTCGGGGTGCAGCAGCAGCTTCATTAACAACCCCTGCAGCCACCGGGGGCTCTACACCTATGAGTGCTACTGCTGCTACTACTGCAGCAGCAGCAGCAGCAGCAGCGACAGCGGCAGCACTACAAACATCAACGGCAGCGGCAGCAACACATGCAGCAACACCAACAGCAGCAGCAGCAACTGCAGCAGCAACTGCAGCAACAGCAGCAGCGACATCTACGCAATCCACTGCTGCTGCTGCTGCTACTCTATCCCCTCAAAACACCAAAAAAGCAGACCCCTGAAGCGCTGCAGCTGCAGCAGCAGCTGCTGCAGCTGCTGCTGCCACTGGGAAGGGATGGAACGATATGCCCCCTGCAGCTTTGCGCACCTGGCGCTAGGGTTTAGGGTTTTCATTTGCAGTCAAGGGTTTAGGGTTTACAGTCTAGAGTGAAGAATTTCGGGTTTGAGGGTTTAGGGTTAGCAGTCTATAGAGTGAAGGGTTTAGGGTTTAGGGTTTGAAAGGTGTACTCAGGTGTACAGGGGTTTCACAGTTCTTTAGCGGTTGTATTAAAATGGCTGCAGGCAGCAGCAAAGCCCCGCTGCTATTGCAGCAGCAGCGGCAGCAGCAGGCAGCAAGTCAGTGGTGAGCATCAGCAGCAGCAGCATCATCATCATCAGCAGCAGCAGCAGCAGGATTGTCTTTTATTCTAAAGACAATACGGCCTTCTTGAGGGGAGAGAGGGTTTGTCTGCAAGACAACAAAGTCGTGAAGGTGCACATACACCCGATTAATGCGCAGCTTGCCACTAAGAGAGCACATTATCATTTTGTCTCTAAGGCCCAAAGGGGCCTCTAAGGTGTCTCCAAATACAGGAGACAGCCCTGCTGCTGCTGCTGCAGCTGCTGCTGCTGACTCCAGCTGCACCTTAAACCGGCCCCCAGGTAGACAAGCCACTACACGACCTGCAAGACTAAGGCAATCCTTCTCCCTCTTGCTGCTGCCGTTGCTGCTACTACTGCTGCTGCTGCTACTGCTGCTCTGCTGCTGCTCCTTCTGACCGCGCTGTCTGCGTCTCGATGCGCCGCGCGTAGGGCTGGAAGCCCCTCCTTTGGCGAACACCGGAGGTGCCACTCTATGGGGCCCCCTAGGGGCCCCCATGGGGGCCCCTAGGGGCCCACCCCCTTGGGGGCCCCCACATTCTGACTTGAAGCAGCGAGGGTACACAGCCAGATTGATGAAACTCAGCGCCTTAGGTGAGGGGCCCCCTCCAGGGGGCCCCCCGAGGTACTTAGAAAAGGGTAGGGGGGCCCCCCATATTAAAGACCCAGGGCAAGCGCGGGGGGGGCCCCTTGGGTTCTGGTGTAGGGGGGGCCCCCTATTAGGAGTTGTCTGCTGCAGCGAGAGAGCACAGCAAGATAGTAACGGATTGATAAGGATTGAAATAATAAGAAAATGCTGTATTAGAAACACAAGCAGACAAACCCCAAGAAGGGGGGCCCCCATAGTTGTTCGAGGGGCCCCCCTGCATGTGGATGCTTACTTTCACTGAAGTTCTAGACCCTAAGACGTTTAATTTCATAAACCCTAAACCCTAAACCCTAAACTGGTTCAAGAACCACTGCTTTCTGTTGCTGCTTCCTCGCCTCAGGGGGCCCCCAAAGATCGATAGGGGGGCCCCCAACTGATGTGGAGGGGGCCCTCTGGGCCCTCCCCACGAGAAACCCTAAACCCTAAACCCTAGAACTCAAGAACTGAAGTTTGAGTTTTGAGAGGGTTTTTTTTTGGGTTGTGTGCGTCTTCAGCTTACAATGCTATTGGTTACTCTAAACCCTAACCCTCAACACTAAACCCTAAACCCTAAACCCTAAACCCTAAAACATACACGACGAGATTGAGCCGTCAAAGCCTGCAAGCATGTGACTTTTAGCTGTTCCTTTTGAATCAGAGAAAAGAGATGAAGATGGGGTGTATGTGCAGCAACAAATGCGGTGTACACACAACAAAACTGCTAGCTTGTTTATTATTGCTGCCAGCACAGATAGATAGAGTTCTGAAGGAGTAAACCCTTTGTCTTCTCGCTTTTTATTAGAAGAGATGCGAGTGCTGATGCTGCAGTTGTTCGTTTAAAGAAGAGACAGCCGCAGCTACTTCAAGCAGCAGCAGCTGCGGTGTACAGACAGACAGCCTCCTTCTTGCTGCTGCTTCTTATATAAGGGGCTCTATGCATATCTACTAACTCAATCTATAAGCGCTGAACTCAGTAATATAATCCTTATTCAAACTGACGCTTTAAAAGGACTGTCTCCATTAACTCTGTCTCCTTTTAACAGAAAGAGAGACAGAGAGACAGAGAGACAGACAAGTCTTCTTCTATCTTTGAGGGCCCTTTACTTCATCACCACCCGCAGACCCTCAGTGCCTTAATGGCGTTACACTACTCTTTCTTCAGAGTAGCTTGATGCATCTATATATATATATATGTATATATGTTGTATATATAATATATTAATTGTGTTGTTGATTATATATAGCGCTTCTACATGCAGACGACGCTTAGACAAAGTCCAGCAAAAACCCAAATGCACCGCCTCCATGCATAAAAAGCAGCGGCGGCCCTTCCCCTTGAACTCTAGCTAGCTGTAGCTAGCCACAGCTAGCTGTAGACAGCCATAGCTAGCTGTAGCTAGCCACAGCTAGCTGCAGCTAGCCATAGCTAGCTGTAGATAACCATAGCTAGCTGTAGCTAGCCACCGCTAGCTGTTGCCAACCATAGTTAGCTGTAGCTAGCTGTAGTTGGGCATAGCTGGCTGTAGCTAGCAACAGCTAGCTGTAGCTAGCTAGGAATGGAGACAGAAGTAGTGGTGTTGCTGCAGGATTAATCAATCCTCTAGCCAGTCCGCAGCATTCGCCCCAACAACGCGGTAAGGAGCCCCCTGCAGCGACTCCTCTTCGCCTTCAATGCTAAACGCCTCCCTGAAGAAGAAGTGCGCGTCAAGCAGCAGCAAAGGAGACAGCAAAAGGAGACACCACAAAAAGACACAAAAAAGAGACAGTTCAGCACAAGAAATAAATGCTGCTTTTCCAGCTGCATCTCAGGATCACGCTACCTGCACACCGTAAAAGCAACAGCAGCAGCAGCAGCAGCAGCAGCAGCAGCAGCAGCAGCAGCAACAGCGGCAGGAACAGCAGCACGTGTGGATAAAAGCTTACAGATCGGAGAGTCTGCTGGCTTGGCTGCTGACGCTTGCGTTATCTTGTGGTTTACTCGTTTGTTGTTCTTGTTGAGTTGTGGGTGTGCTTGTTTGCTGCTGCGTTTTGTTGTCTCCGTCTTCTGCTTCGTTTGCTTCTATCCACTCTAAGGGGTTGTCTTTGTCTCCTGGTTTGTCATAGCTATCAGGATTTTCTCTAAGTTCTTCTAGCTGTCGCAGCAGCTCTTGGTTTTGCTGCTTAATTTGCTCTAACTTTTGTTGTACTTTCTCTGTCTCCTCTTGTGTTGGTAATACACGAGAGAGGGCCCCAGGTGTCTCCTGGAGGAGACAGAGTAGAGCATCTCTGATGATACGCAGTTTATTATTTCTTATCTTATATTTCTCAGCCCTTTCTCTTAAAACAATCTCCTTCTTCTCTCTAAATGCTTCAAACTGGTCTGCAATTGCACTCGGCGACTTCAGCTGTAGCTTCAATAGAGACAAATATAATTCAGATAAAGCAATACCGCAGTTTGTTAAGTCTTCATTAAATAAATATGTTGTCTCCTCTTGTTCTTCTTCTGTCATTCTTGAGACAAACTTCTCTAACTCTTGTAAACGCATATCTAATCAATCCACATCAAACAAACAAACAAACAAACAAAACACAAAATATCATTAAGCAATGCATGCAACAACAACAACCCCACCAATAAACACACACATATACATGCATATATATATATATATTTATACAGAACGAGAGAGAGGGAGAGACAAAAAAAGAGACAGACAAACGCACCTATACGCATACATATACACACAAATACAGAGAGAGAGAGAGAGAGAGAGACAGAGACAGAGACAGAGACAGATATATATATATATATATATATATATATATATATATATACAGATAGAGAGACAGAGAGAGAGAGATAAACAGAGAGATAGAAAGAAAAAGAAAGAAAGAACAATTCATATTGTTGCCTCAGGACAAACAGGCGAATCAATAAACCCTAAGCTCTAAACCCTAAACCCTAAACCCTAAACCCTAGTGATGAGATACCGAGGTCTTTTTTATCTTCTTCTGCTGCTTCGGAGCTGCTTTCGCTGATGCTTGATTCTCCTCCTTCAATATCTCTGAGTCTGTCTTTCTTTGTCTCTTCTTCTTCTTCATCATCAGATGGAGGTGTTAATGTCTCTTCTTGTTCTTCTAGTTTTTTTTGTAGATCTGTATAGTAACTATGCATACCAACAGCCATACTGCTTTTTGTTCTTAACAACTGTCTCTTCTTTTCTTGCGTTGCTTCTTGTTGTAGGGTCCAGTCTAATAGCTTTGACATATCTCCTCCTGCTAATGCTTGAAGCGATGCTTTTTTATTTTGATTTTCTTCTTCTAATCGAGAGAAAGCTAAGCCTAAACGAAGTGCAAACTCTATAAAAGAACCAGGAATAACATCAAGCCTGAGGTGTACAACAGCGAGTCCTAAGGCTTCTCCCATGACTTTAAGAAAGTAAATACGTTCTTCATAATTAATACTTTTTTCTCTTTGTCTGAATAATCTAGCAAATCTTCCTGTCCTTTTTGCTGCTACAAGTTGTATTGATTGCTCTGTATCATTAAATATAACAACAGGCTCTCTAGCTCTTCTCTTTTCAGATAATCGCGAGAAAAACCTAAACACTTGTCCTATAAACGGAACCCAGAAGAAGCTCCTCGTCGCTCGGACATTATCAAAGTATGCAAATACTAAATTTACACCGACTTCAAACACAAAAAATATTACAGGCACTCCTATAAAACCCAACAGCACTGCGTTTATCAAACCAGAGAAACGTGCTCCCAGCAGCAACTGCAAACAAACACAAACAAATCAAAAACATAAAAATAAATAAATATGTATATATATATTTATTTATTTATTTAAATAAACAAATAAATAGATGGAAGTGCAGATGTGAGCATATACACAACAAGCAGACGAATAAATAAAAGAGCAGCAGCGGCAGTAGCAGTAGCAGCGGCAGCAACAACAGCAGCGGGAGCAGCAGCAGCAGCAGCAGCAGCAGCAGCAGCAGCATACTCCCATGGTGCAGGAGGCAATGGTCCAGATAGCCATGCTGTGGTTTTCGAGTCTGTCGAGGGTAGAGTAACTCCTGTGCAAAACAAGAAAATAAAACAGAGACAGCAAAGCCCTTCTCCTCAACTCTGCAGCTTCAGTGTCTCCAGAGACACCCTAAAGAAGAGACAGAGGAGACAGCATGGCTGCGCTGCAGGAAAGAGACAGCAGACATGAAAACCAGCAGCAGCACACCGCAAAGACCCAGACAGAGAGACAGAGAAAGACAGAGATGGAGAGAAAGAGAGAAGATACATATATATATATATATATTATATATATTATATATATAGCTAGAGAGACATAGACAAGGACAGTCAGAGACAGAAGGAGACAGAAAGAGACACAACAATATAGAGGTATACCGCGAGGGACAGCAAAATACAGCGAAGGAGATAGAGGAAGCGAAGAAGAAAGAGAGTGAACAGAGAGGTAAAGAAGAAGAGACAGACAGCGAAACGTCTTCAGGATGTATACCAGAAAAGGAGACAGTATCTGCATGTGACGCACCTCTTATCGAAGGGCTGACACCGTAAATGGAGAATATTGAAGGCAATAGCAATAGCAGTAGCAACCGTAATACTAGCAGCAGAGAGAGTGCTTGTACCGAAGAGAAGAATAGAAGAGACAACAAGAACAGAGAGTTTGCGAGCAAAGACAACTGTCTCCCAATACCAATATTCACGAACAAATCCGTTATGAAGAAACCCATACTTAAGACGTGTCTCCTTGCTGTTAAGATTCTTACGATTAACATACAGCACAAGAAATGCACCTAAGGGAATGCCTATACTCCATAGTAGAAGACCTGCTAATCCTAAGACAAAGAATTTAAAATAATCGCTTGAAGGAGACAGTACACATTCAACACTCATAGCAGAAGTTAAGAAATATCTTCTCCCGTGTTCTTCACCAAAGTCTATGGCTTTACATTCAAGGAGACTCAGCATATATCGGGTGGTAGATGTATATATAAAAAAGGAGACAGTAACATAAATAGGAGTCATATCTTCAAAGAACTTATATGCACGTCTCCAAGCAGATTCTCCTGGTAAGGGGACATATCTAAACATCATAAAGAGACGATCTTCCTCCAACTTATCTCTTAATTGTTCTGTTAGACCAACTAAATCAAACCGAATTGTTTGCTGCAGTACACCGAGCTTCCGTTGAGTACTATGACGATAGTAATGTTTAACTCTAGAGACGAAGATAAACATAATAAGAGTAGCAGCAAGAGGCAAAAAGATAGGCAAAAAAGCATAGAATAGACGAGTAAAGAAAAAAGAATCTCCATAAGATAATGCTAGAGCCTCACGTAATACACAATCTACAGACGTCCAGTGCGTCTTCTGAGAAGAAGATATCTGTTGAGCAACATCTGATTGAAGTCTGTACAGCCAGCTTGGTAGTTCAATTTGTTCAAGATCAACAACAGATAAGACCCACATACAAGTAACAAAGTTTGAAGCAATTTTAATAACAATAGAGTGTATAGAGCGTCTATTAAACCCCGCAGCAACATTCATATAAGCCATTGCAATATTAAACAATAATAAACATAAATAATACAATATACAAAGAGTTATATTAGCTCCTGTTGAAGGACATTGCGTACATATCTCCTCATGATCAAAAGTATTTGTATAACCTGGTTTACATTCACTACATAAAAAGTCAGCCATTGTCTCTATACAACTCCCGTGCTCTTGACATGCACTAGAGACAGGACATTTAATAAAATACCAGTCTCCTGGATCTTCAAGCTCTTCTCTGAGTTGTACTAAGAAGAAACCAGCTTTAGGATAGGGTTTAATATGATCTTTGCTGCTAATAGAAACAGTTGTGGGATCCTTTAAAAGATTTTCTCTTGCATCTTCTGATAAACCTCCTAAACATGTTGCTCCTGCAGGGCATTCATGACAACTACCAGCAGCAAAGTATGTCCCTGCCTCACAGAAGCACTGACTCTGATCTTGCATACCCTGTAAGCTTGTTGAATGGCTGCCGCATAAACCATTACAGTTCGCGTCTTGGACAGATGTTTTATATGAACCAGCAGCACAAGCTGCACACTTCTTCCCGCCCATCTCGTCGTAACCGCGAAAGGCAAAACCCTTGTCGCACAAACCTTCATCAACGCACACCAAAATAGATATATATATATAGATGTAGATATGCTTATATATATATATATATTATATATATATGTGTGTGTGTACATATTTATATATATATATATATGTGTGTGTGTGTGTACATATGTATATATATATATATGTAGAGAGAGAGAGAGAAAAACAGAAACAGAGAGACAGACAAGGAAACAGAGAGGCAGACAAATAAGCAAAGGGACAGAGACAGAAGCACAGACAGATACAAACGCACAGCCAGACACAGAAAAACAAAGAGCCAAGAGACAGAAAAAACAGACTGAGACAGAGAGAGACAGAGACAGAGAAGGAGACAGCAGCAGAGAGATAGAGACTGCAAGTGATTAGGAGTTTGTTTCTCACAGTCATTAGGGCTTGAGGGGGTATCAAACCCTGCAGTGATGCGGGTATGGCTTGGGCAAGGTACTGGTGGGGCTGGCATAGAGCCCCCCACACAAGAGGGTTCATCTGTGCATGCAACACTGCCTCCTGGGCAATACTTTCTGGGGTCTCTGCATGCAGTACATTGTTTAAGTTCATCACTATAATAATATCCACCATTACAAAGACATTGAGACGCTGAAGTAGCACCTGTAGTAGTTGTCCCTGAGTTATCGTTACAAGACCGACAAAATGTATTACCAATAGTATCTTTATAAGTATTAATAGGACATTCTAAGCAATTCTTATATTCTTCTGCTGCATTAGAGACAGGTAAATAATATCCAGCACCACACATACACTCCGATGCAGACTTTGCTCCTTCTTCTGCTGTTGTCATATTACTCGGGCATCGCACCTTCGTCTTCTCTACCCCTTCTTCTTTATCATAGCCACCCGGACAGTAAAATCCCTTGGGGCAGGTCTATAACAAATAAACATCACAAGTCTTTATACTATCATTATTATTATTATTATTATTATTGTTGTTGTTGTTGTTGTTGTTGTTGTTGTTGTTGTTGTTGTTGTTGTTATTGTTCTGGTTTTATTGTTATTTTCTTATTATTGTTATTATTATTTTGTAGTAAGTACAACAACAACAACCAACAGAGTCATGCGAACCGTCATAATAATAAAAATAATAATAATAATAATAATAATAATAATAATAATAATAATAATAGCAGTCACAACAACACAAGCATTTGCAATTGATAATAACAATAGTAGCAGTATGAATAACAATAACATTATTTTATTATTTACTATTATAGTCAGGGCAACGAGAGTAAGTGGTTGTAATGGTGTTGCTAATAACGTCACTAATACTAATAACACTAAGTAGAATAATAGTAATAATAGTAACAGCAACAATAACAATAGCAATAGCAGCAACGACAATCATATTATTATAATTATAATATTATCTCTTTAGTGTAGCTGCATTGGGGTGTACAGGCACCTCCCCTTGTTATTTTGCATATGAGACACGAATGAAGACAAACGGAGACAGGCAATCACAGAGACACCAAAGGAGACAAACGGAGACAGACAATCAGATAGAGAAGATGAATGGAGACAAAGGGAGAGAGGTGAGCAGAGAGAGAGACAGAAAAGGAGACAAACGGAGACAGGCGAAACGATGCAGATGCATGCACAGTTCTCACCATACAGCGGTTGGTTGCAGTGTCTCTATATTCGCCAGCCCCGCAAACACAAAGAGACAGAGAGTCTGCTCCAACTGTCTCTGACTTTGCCCCAAAGGGACAATTCTGTGCAGGTGTATTTGACAGCATATCTTTAAATGTCCCCTTCTCAACAGCGCGACATGTTATCATCCCTAAACCCCACGAAGGAAATACAGCCTCATATCCAGGCAAACACCTGCGCAGACACCTCAAACGCAAAGCCCACAACACTCCAATAACACCCCACACGCACCCCATATGCATGCATGCATGCATGCATGCATGCCGTAAGATCAACGATGGAAGGCATATGAATCGTTGGTATCTTTATCTCGATTGAGGAGACACTGCATTTCATAACAGCCTAACATACGCATGCAAGTTGTATCTAAAAAGAGAGAGCAAAGTGTCTCCTTCTACAGGAGAGATGCATACACCTCAATCCCTATCTCTGCAAAGGCGAGAGGAGGAGACATATGTGCATGAAGAAGTTTATGGATCTACTGGCGGTGCTGATCAAAAAGACACTTCCCCACCATCTTTAGGGTTTAGGGTTTAGGGTTTAGGATTTAGGGTTTATTGTGTTGGTGTGTGTGGGGTGTATATATGGCTTACAAGCACTTATATGGATGATCGTTTTCTACTGTCCCCGGCAGTGTATTAGAGTGTTCAAGACAAACTTTTTTAATACCCGCGTAAGCAACAAGAGAGGGAATAGCAGGCTCGCTTCCTACACATATATATCCTGGGGGGCATTGGCCGCATAAGAACTCTTCATTTTCTGTTTCATAAAACCCTGGTAGGCACATATTACAATCTTTCTTGCTAGTAGGAGAGTGGGTGCTTGAGTAAGAATTCATAGGACAAGGCACGCATGCAGAAGAGGAGACTGTCTCCTTGTAACGCTTATATCCACAAGGTACACACACTTGATGGTCTCCTATCCCTGCATACTCTGGGATACTCCTCAGCCACTCTCTAAACTTATAAGCAGAGCTGTTGCTGTCATTAAGAGACTCAGCGGAGGCAGGTTCAAATCCTTTATTGCATGCACAATCTTGTAAAGAAGTAAACGGCCCAGTAGAATCGGAGACAGTTGTTGTGTTAAGGGGACAGGCAAATGCAGAGGCACGGTAACCCCCAGGAGAGAATGTCCCAGCAGCAGCAAGTATGCACGAGTCTAAATCCTTATCATATACGTATCCGGGGTTGCTGCATGCAAAGAAACCCACATAAAAGACCAGCAGCAGCAGCTGCAGCAGCTGCAGCAGCAGCAGTAGCAACAGCAGCAGCAGCAACATAAGAACAGTCCCTTTCTGTGCAGATACTCACCATGCACATTTTCTCTCCTCAGCAGTCGTTGCTCCGGAGACAGTTGAAGAGGAGTTCGCTGGGCAGCGGGTGCCTAGACACCCGGTGTTGGAGACAGTATCCTTCCAGGTGCCTGCAGCAGCACATAATGATGCATCTTTCCCCCTCATTAATTATGTTTAGTTATTAATTAATTAGGGTTTACTTCATGCACAAATTCAATAAACAAACGCCAGTTTGTAGCAGCAAAGAGCACTCATAAACGCACACGCAGCAGCTACGGATAGTCAGCAACAGCAGCAGTAGCAGCAGTAGTTAAACAGCAGCACCAGCAACAGTTGTGCAACAACATCAGCAGCAGCATATGAGCAACCGCAGCAGCACTCGAGACGCAGCAGCAAAAGGAGCAGTTGACCAGCAGCAGCAGCACCACCTCAGCAGCAGCAGCAACAGCAGCAGCAGCAGCAACATGTGTGTGTCTTGCCTGGGGGGCATGGTACGCATCCTTTTTCGGGTGCCTGTTCATCTAGATGGAATCCCTTTGCACATATACACTGGTCTTCTGATGTAGATCCCTCGGAGACAGTAGATTTATTTTCTTCACAAGGTTTGCATGCACCCCATCTATCTAAAGGAGACTGTTTGACTAAGGCGAGACTGTTGTATGTCCCTACAGGGCACTTAGCACACATCCCATGCCTCATGAAGTGCCCGTTCTTGCAAGCAATATAAAAAGAAATGCTGCTATTAACTTCATTCACAACACCTTGACCTACAACACCAACTTCAACACTGGGGCCTGTTGAAGGAGCCAGCTGAAGAGACAGTGTCCCTTTAATTCTATCTACAGAAGCAATTTGCCTTACGAAGGCAAAGTTTGCTACATTAGGGTTCAGATAAAAAGAATTGAAAGCACTCATAGATGTTCTTCCTGCTATTAAAGGCTCTAATAATACTTCATCTCCCACTGTATACCATCCAGCATGAGTATATGTAAATGCAGGAGCTACAGCAGTAGCATCAAGAGACACAGACTGCACAAATATGTCTTCTAAAGATGTCCTATACACCACAAGACGAGCAAAGTCTAGTCCAGAACCCCTCTCCCCGACCTCTACTGAAAATGCGCTCGTAGGGGCCCCTAAATTCAATCCTGCAGTGTCTTGAGACGACCCGTGATAATCTGTCGCTCCTCCACTAGTTGGCACCAGCAAATCTATACCAACCTTCCCTTCCTGAAATGCATGCAAATATACAAACCCTAAACCCTAAACCCTAAACCCTAATGTCCACTCCTTACACGCTAAACACTAAACCCTAAGGCCCACTCCTTACGCGCTAAACACTAAACCCTAATGTCCACTCCTTACACTCTAAACGCTAAACCCTAATGCCCACTCCTTATTAACTAAACCCTAAACCCTAATGCCCACTCCTTACACCCTAAACACTAAACCCTAAACTCTAAACTCAAGCGTCTACACCCTGAACCTGAAACTTTAAACGCTAACCGTAAATTATAAACCCTAAAACAAACACACTGACAAAAGAACCATAGAACCCTAAACCCTAAACCCTAAACCCTAAACCCTAAACCCTAACAGTAAACCTCCGCATCCAGTATGTGGTTTAAGTTGCAGAAGTGTTTATCTCCTCACCTGCAAAACGAAGAGAAGAGTCTCTCCGTTATATTTAAAGGCAACGAGATCTAGAGGCCTCGTAAGTCTTGTTGCTTTGGGCCCCGCATATGCAATTTCACTGACAAGTGCAGATTGTTTAGCTGCAGCATCAACTTCAATATGAACGATTCTGTCTCCGTCTCTGTCTGCTATATAGCAGTCATACAATCCCCAAAAATCATTTCCACTTGAAGTGTCTCCTTGCTGCTCTTCTTTAGCTTCCGTCTCTTCTGTCTCTTGTGCTTCATCTCCTGATGAAGAGACACTCTCTTCTTTTTCTCTAGGGAGACATGCAAGGCTTGTGGGGTACTGAAGAGGGCTCTTAAGGCCCTGCCAGTTGTTCTTACTTTGCACAAGACTGAGTTCAAGTCCGTCTAGCCACACAAAATTACCTCCTTTAGAGTCTAGCAGCAATATAGAGGGGTTTGTCTGTGTTGCGGTGTCTTCATAGACAGTTAACAAGCAGCAAGGCGCATGCAGAGGCTCCGAAGAGACAGCATCAGCAGCAGCAATGAGGAGGCTTCCTGGGTCTCTTGCATCGTACTTACGGACTGCTGCTTGTTCTCCTGTCTCTGCTGCATAAAGAAAGAATCTCTCAAAGGTAATATCAGTAGATAGAGACAGCCAGCCGCTGCGTTGCAGCGTAAGTAGCAGCACAGGGGCTGTATCATCATGCGTCCAAAGATTAACAACTGTCTCCTGTTCATACACCTCAAATGTAAGGGTCTTTGAGAACTGTCCCTTTGTAAATACGCTTTCTTTGTCTCCGTTTATAAGCCCAGAAGTATCGTTATGCAGCCAATGAAGCCCCAAAGGACTGAATGGGCTAAGAGTAACTGCATGTACACCGAGAGGTACACCAAGCTGTCTCCCTTTCTTATTCACCTGCCAAGGCTGATAAAGACTAAACTCAGCAACCATTGCAAACCCTGTAAACAGAGAACGGCTCCCTGTCTCCAAACATATATGCAGCGCTGTCCTCGTCTGAAGCTGCCCGCTTGAACCCGGACGCAAGAGGAAACCGCTGCAAGCAACACAAGACATGCACATATATATATATATATATATATTATACATATATATATGCATATATGTTTCTAGATAGTATATATATATGTATATATATATAGTTATATATATATATATAGATAGATAGGACAAAAATTGCGTGTATATATATATACATATATACAGCCGCACACAAACAAACACGCACATCAGACAACGAAGACACAAAGAAAAGGTAGAGATAAATAAAATATGCAAGTTAGATCGGAGACAAAGACAGAAATAACACAACCCAAACACAAGTAGAGGCAACTATGCAAAATAACAAATAGACAGCTTCTCCTTCGTCTACTCTCACTCCCAACCAAGCCTCCTCTTCAGCTTGCACATCCTAAATGCACTCCGCATGCACTATGCATGCACTCCGCATGCACTCCGCATGCACTATGCATATGAATTACGTATTCACTGCGCATGCAGTGCGCATGCGGGGCTGTGGGGTGTGTAGTATAGTCTTACCTGCCTCTTACGACTTCTCTTTCATCATCTTCTTGAAAGCTGGAGACCTGCGAGGACTGTGCTAAAGTGTCTCCTTGGCAGGGGCTTTCAGTTGCCTCTCTCAAAGTAAAAGAAATTGAGTTTAAATTGACGTTGCGGCCGCCGTGCAGAACAAAGACTGAAAACAGCGTCTCATTAGCACCAGCTGAAGAAGGAGCATAAGTAGCTACCTGCTTTGTTGAGGCGTCAAACCCTAAATAACCAGCAAACACACTAAAACCACAAACCCTAAACCCTAAACCCTTCGCTCCAAAAGCGCTAAAGAATACAATCGCAGACAGACGCCTTCCCGAGATACTCCTTAAGACTGGGCTAGGCTTTAGGGTTTAGGGTTTAGAATTTAGGGTCTACGGTTTAGGCTGAAAAAGTGGAAATGGTAATCGTACAACTGTTAAGACGCTCAGGGTTTAGGATGTTTAGGGTTTAGGGTTTAGGGTTTGTTATTGCGGCATTTGTGGCCTTGTAATGGGTTGCAGGACAAGGGTTTAGGGTTTAGGGTTTAGGGTTTTCCTGTGTTTTTAGATTAGGGTGAAAAGGCAGGGGTTTAGAGTTAATTGTTTATTGTTTGTGCTGGTGCTGCCTGTTGCTTCGTTTGAATTTTCCTGTTTAGGGTTTCTACTCTCTGTTTTCTATGGGTTAGAGTTTAGGCTTTAGAATTAAGGGTTTAGGGTTTAGGGTTTAGGGTTTACCTGTGGTTTGGAATAGGGTGACGACTCCCGTTGCTTTTCCGTCTGTACCTTCTCCTGTCCAACATACAATATAGCGGCCTACTTTAAAAAGAGATATCTCTTCACTAACCGCCATACCATAAGGCAGCCTTCCTTGTTGAACAGTTTTGATAGCTACAGACGTCTCTATACGAAAGGCTTGCTGCAGCCAAGCAGCAGCAGAAGCAGAGGAGACACCTGCAGCAGCAGCAAAGCCCCTTGCAACACTTAATGTCTTCTCTAAAGAACGCAATAAACAAGATGTCTCCCCGTTAACTCGAGCTATATCTAGCCTGTCTCCTTTCTTCAAATTAACTCCAACAACAGGTAATTCAAAAGAAGTAGAAGTCCCAAAGAAAGGAAGTTGGTGGCGAGTATAAGGCACAGGCCCTAAAGGAGACACAAACATACACATCTATGCATGCATGCATGCATGCATGCCCCTGCCTGTCTGCCTGCATGCATGCATGCAGGCAGACAGGCAGGGGCAAACTTCCCACCCTGCATTCTAAACCCTAAACCCTAAACCCTAAACCCTCAAAGCAACCCCTGTCTCCTCCCTAGAAGTATCATTGTCTTTGGTGGCTGCTGCTGCGTCTGCAGATATTGAGTGCAGGGGAAGAGAGAGACAGATACCTCAAGTCTATCTCTCAATTGCTGCTGCTGCTGCTGCTGGGGACTCTCTGTAAATGAAGTGTCTCCTTGACTCGGATCCCGGTGCGTGCTGTCTGTCTCCTGTCTAGAGAAGTGAAGGCCTATTAATGCATGCTAATTAATTAATAAATACTGCTATTAACAATAATTATTTTGTGATTAACTACTAATATAGTTCCTTGTGTGTGCATAATCCCTTGTATGTTTATATATATATATATATGCATATATATATGCATATATATATATATACAAATATATATATACATATATACATATATATATATATATATGCAGAGAGAGAAAGGAGCAGCATAAGAAGAAGAGACTCACCCATGATTGTTAGCATTCCCCCATGTATATTGAAGTCTTCAGTCTTAGTGCATGTGCCAATCTCCCTGTATGAAGAGTTTGCAATGTATTGAAAGTCGCAGATACAAGCTAAGAGGCTTCCGAATTGAGTGTCTCTCAGCTCTATGTCCTTCCATATAAGTTTCTGCGTCTGCCCTTCTTCAACAACAACCTCAGGCATCTCTATTATTACCCCATATTCATTTACTGGTAGAGACACTCGCATTGCAAGGCTTAACCCGGGGGCCCCACAGGCTGTTGTCTCTGTACCCCCTTCAAACAAGCGCAGCGCTTTATAAGGAGAAGCCCCCACTTCATGATATTCTATTGAAAACTTTGATGCCGGCTGTACGTACTGACGACTAACACCTAAACAATAAAGAAATACACAAAGACATATGCATAATATTTAATAAACAACAAACATACTCAACCATGCATACACTCCGTCTTCTTTCTTTCCCTCTCCTAGATCCTCTTCTTAATGCTGCTGCTACTTTAGTACTGCTGCTGCTGTTGCTGTTGCTGCTGCTGATGCTGCTGCTGATGCTGCTCCTGATGCTGCTGCTCTTTGCTAGCAGGAGCAGCAGGGGAAGCAGCATCAGTGTCAGCAGCAGCAGCACCGGCAGTAGCAGCAGGAGCATCAGCAGCACCGGCAGTAGCAGCAGGAGCATCAGCAGCACCGGCAGCAGCAGCAGCAGCATCTCCTTAATATGTTGGTTAAGCATGTACTGTCTTATTACCAGTGGGGTCTCAAACCGAATCGTATGGCATCAGCAGGGGCATCATCAGCAGCAGCATCAGCAGCAGCATCAGCAGCAGCAGCAGCAGCTTGTAAGTATGTTGGTTATGGGTGTATTATATGATTACCTATGGGGTCGCATATATCGAATCTGAGCGAAGGATCAGTGGTGAAGCACCAAATATATTGTTCATTCCCAGGGTTTCTGCAGTAATTGCTTGCATCTTCACCAAGTTGAATAATATGTTTGTGGGGGCTTTGACTGTTCCATCGCTGACATGTCCTTCCTAGTCTTGTTTGAGTTTGGCAGCCCTTGTACACCCCGTTTAGCATTCGTTCATCGCATGCTGTGGGGTGTATATACACACACACAAATATATCTGACAAAGATATTACATGTTATACACATGGTTTTCTCATTCATTATGCATATAGAAATACAAAGTGTAGAAGCAGCAGCAGCAGCAAGGCTTGCAACAGCAGCAATCGCAACTGCACCAGAGCTGCAAGAGCTGCAACTGCAAAGCAGCAACAGCAGCAGCAGCATAGCAGCAGCAGCATAGCAGCAGAAGCATAGCAGCAGCAGCATAGCAGCAACATAGCAGCAGCAGCAGCAGCAATAGAGAAGCAGCAGGGTAGCAGCTTTAGCAGGGTAGCAGCATCAGCATCAGAAGGTGTTGGTTCTTACGACAAAAGACTGAAGAAAGTTGTTTTTGAACTTTATAACCATCAGTTATGGTGCGCGAAATAATAAAGGCAGGGGAGAAGTAACAGGAGACAGTCTCCCCACAATCATCGACGCATGCAGGAGACTCCCCAGAGAAGTCAATGCCAAACGGAAAGGAGACACATCTCCACATTCCTTGGATTTGTCTGGCGACCTCCTTTTCATCGCATAAACCATCTAGGTAGCTCTGTACACGAGATGTATCTGCATAATCAAACAAATTCATTACTTAATTTGCTCATTCATTCACACTTATTTTCTTGTCATTCGCTCAGATTGAGAGGCATATACACATGCAATTACAGCTTTTACGGTGTATATATATATATATTATGCGGGGGTCTCCAATTGAAGTGTCTCTCTTTGTCTCCTATGTTGCTCGCTGTTCTATGTCTGTAATGTTTATTTGTTTGTATGTTTGTGTGTGTGTGTTTTTATTTGTTTGTTTATTTGTTTGTCTGTCTGCCTGTGCTGTTTCTGTTTGTTTGTTTCTTTGTTTGTTTGTTTACTCGTGTCCCCCTCTCAGTCTTTATCCTCTAAAGCCCCAACTCCCCCAATTGCAGGCAGCAAACAGAAACCAAGGCTCCAGCCCCATACATATACACATGCATGCATGCATGCATATGTATATATATGTGCATGCATGTGGATTGTTTGGGGCTTTATGTGTGGTTTGCATGCATAGGGGTATCTTACAGCAGAATTCAACTCGAACATGATGAGGATCGAAGGTGAGTCTCCTTTCACTAGCAAAGACACTATCAGCATTTACTTTTTTAAGTATATCCTTCTTAATGGCGCCGTTGCATGCGAGTTTATTAAGGCAGCTGTCTACGCATGCAATGCTACGAGTTGTGAAGTCTATTTCCTCTTGAAGAAAACAGAAGGCTGAAGATGGCTGCACTGTAAAGCGAGCCCCTATATACATCTTGCCTTCTGTCTTGCCCTTAAGTATACACTTCTCATCTAAATACACCTGAGCCCCACTTGAGGTGTATGACTCTATATTACCTCCATTTGCAGCTGCACATAAAATAACAGAGACATACACACACATACAAGCCGCAAAGATACAAGTCTACAACCCAGTTATTCTCCTCCTGTCTCCTCCTGTCTCTTTCTATCTCTCTATCTGTGTTTGTCTCCTGTCTCTTTCTGTGTCTCTATCTGTCTTCGGCTCCTGTCTCCTGTCTCCTTCTGTGTCCCCATCTGTCTCCCGTTCCTGTCTCTCTCTGTGTCTCTATCTGTCTCAACCTCCTTTCTCTTGTCTCCTCCTGTGTCTCTATCTGTCCTAGCCTACTGTCTCTTTCTGTGTATCTATCTGCCTTATTCTGCTCTTATTGTGTCTCCTTCTGTCTCCTTCTGTCTCCTCTTTCTGTCTCTTTCTGTCTCCTCCTGCCCTACGGTGTCTCCATCTATCTTATTCTGTCTCCTTCTGTGTCTAGTGTAGTTCCTTGTTCCTGCTGCTCCCGCTGCTGCTGCTGCTGCTGCTGCAGCTTGCTTCTGCTTACTGACGGATTGCTGCACCATGGAGACAGGTCTCTCTTCTTCTTCTTCGTCTATTGTTTTTGTTTTGCCCTGTAAAAAAGCAGCTAATTGTCTTCTTTCTTTTGTTTGAATATGTACAGAGTAGGTTGCGGCGACAACAGAAGAACTACTTGTATGCAGAGCCCTCAGCAGCTCTTCTCGTGCAGCAGGAGACAGATCAGCGGAGACACCTGAACCTCTCTCTCTACTGTCTCCTATGCCTTCCTGCAGCATCGAAACCCCACCAAAGCCACTGTCAGCAGAGACACCAGACGCTCTACCTCGCAGCTGATCTAGCCTGCTTAAGGGGCCCCCATGGCGTCCGAAGGGGCCCCTAAGGGGGCCCCTACGGGGGCTCCAGCCTTCCTCCAGAAAGATCGTGGGGGCCCCTTCAGAGGGGCCCTCATCCTTCCCCAAAGAGACCTGGGGGCCCCCAATGGGGGGGCCCCAACGGGGGCCCCCTTGCTTCTCCCCACGGGGGCCCCCACCTTTGCCTATAGAGAGCTTAGGGCCCTCAGGGGGGCCCCAATGGGGGCCCCCATGGGGGCCCTTAGTGGGTACAGGGCCCCAGCTGTTTTGCTGATTTTGATTAAGGCGTTCAGTGTGCGGTGGTTTGAGGGTACTCTGACAGCTGTCTCCTTTTCGGAAGAGAGAAGAGACCTTGTGAGTAGCATAAAAGGGGCCTGCAGCACAAAGGAGACACTTTAAAGTGCTGCTAAAAGGAGACAAAAGGAGACAAATAAAGACAGCTAACAAACACCAGCCATAATACAACTCCCAGAATCAACCGCAATACAAGCAGCAGCAGCAGCAGCAGCTCCTGCTGCTGCTGCTGTCTTTTCAAATGAAGCAGCAGCAAAGGCTCCGCCGACAACTTCTGTGCTTGCTGTTGCTTCTACACTGTTGCTGCTACTTCTACTCCTGCCGCTGCTGCTGCTTGTGTTGTTATTGCTGCAGATGCATACCTTCCGATTTCTCAGAGCCCTGGGCACTGTCTCCAGCGTCTGTCTCCAACTGCCGCACACACGCAAAACCAAAGTCAAACAGCAGCTAAAGTGGAGCTGCTGCTGCTGCTGTTGGTGCTGCTGGTATTGCTGTTGATGCAGCAGCAGCTGCTGCTGCTGCTGCGGTTGCTGTGGCAGGGCTGCACAAGCTTGAGGCCTACCCAGGAAGGGGAGACGGTTGAGGCAAGCAGGGAGAGCAGTGCTGTAGCTGCTGCTGCAGCTTTAAGGAGACACCGCATGTTGTCTCCTGTGCATGCAGCAGAAGGAGAGACTCCTAAGCAGCAATCAAGCAGGTGTTTGTGCTGTTGCTGTTCTTTGCTGCTCTAGACGCTGAGCCTCATTATTTTAAATCTATCGATGTCTGTGTTGCCGGGAATCGAACCCGCGCGGCTGAGATCTGTCAGCCTTCAAAACCAACTTCATAACAAATCAGCTGTAGGTGCCGAGACACCGCAGCGAAGGCGAGGCAGCTGACTGGACTGGTCCATACACTGTAGCAGCAGCAGCTGCTGCTGCTGCTGCAGCTGCAGCAGCAAAAGCAGCAGTAAAGAATGAGCACTTAACAGGGCGAAAGAGAGAAAATTCGGTTCACGGGGGAAATCTAGATGCCTGCTGCAGCAACAGCAGCAGCAGCAGCAGCAGCAGCAGCAGAAGAGCCAATGGTGTACGGTCTTGCGCAGCTGAACTCAGGTGTATGTACACCTCGCTCGAAAATATTTCAGAGAAAAAGAGGTTTGTTTTGAGTTTGCATGCAACAATTTAATGATATTTACACAATAAAATAAAAGTCAAACAAGAGCTGCATGTACAGCCGAACAGCCGCCGCTCGCCAGCTCTAAACATTATCGATTGCTACTCTGCTTCTGAGGAGTAAGCGCTACCATTGTTTATAATTTTTCAAGTTATTATTATAATTAATTCATTAATTATATTTATAAAACATTTAAATAACTGCTAACTCAGCAACGGAAGTACAGACACCTCAGCACCCACCTCAAGCCGCAGGCGACCGCTGTGCTGCGGTCACCACCACTCGAGCCTCAAACCCTAAACCCTAAACCCTAAACCCTAAACCCTAAACCCTAAAACTTAAACCCTCCTCTGAATTGTGGAGTCTAAATATCAGTATTTAGGCACCTCGTCGGTAACTCTTATAAACGCTGAACCACAAAAAAGAAGAAACTCTTTCCTTCTTAGGGTTTAGGGTTTAGGGTTTAGGTTTTAAATAGAGGGAGAGGAGTGAACAGCAGCAGATGCACCTCCTAAATCCTGTGAAGCCCCAAACCCTAAACCCTACGCCTCAATCCCTAGCCTGTAAACCCTAGACACGTGGCTTAAGCTTGAGACCTTCAGCGAAAGACTCTAAACCCTAAACCCTAGACCCTAAACCCTCGATACCAGACGTCCTGCAATGCTGAGACGAAGGGTTTAGGGTGGAGGGTTTTAGTTCCACCTAAACCCTAAACCCTAAGGCCTGTAAAGCACTCCCAACGAACGGAAGCTGAACCCTAAACCCTAACCCTAATGGATCTGGAAAGGGGTAGAATTATAGCCAGTCTCTAAACCCTAAACCCTAAACCCTAAACCCTCGCTCCGAACATGCTTAACTTTGTTATGAAGCATTTGGGTTGTGCGCGCTGCTGCTGCTGCTGTTGCAGCTGCAGCAGCAAAAGCAGCAACCGTAAAAGCAGCTGCTGCTGCAGCAGCAGCAGCAGCAAACACGGTGAATATCTGCAGCAGCCACAGGACAGGAGGGCCCTTACCTGGGCTCTTAAAGGCAGACGTCAGTATAAAACAAGAAAAAGCAAAACCTTTCGCTTGAATGAACAGGGTGTACGTACACCTGATAGGTGCACATACACCTGAAAGGTGCATACACACCTGCAAGGCTTACATACACTTGAGAGGTGCATATACACCTGAAAGGTGGACATACACCTAAAAGGTGCAGATACACCTGGGGGATACAAGTACACATGAGAGGTGCAGATACACCTAAAAGGTGCAAATAGACGTGAGAGGAGCAGATATACGTGAGAGGTGGAGATACACCTGGGGTGTTTGCGTACACTTGAGAGTTGGCGATACACCTGAAAGAGGTAATATATAAGCATAAGAGTTGTCTGTAAGAATCTGTCATGGGTGCTTCTTATTGGGTGTACATGCAGCTCGTAGAATGTTTTGTTTGTTGCTGTTTGCATGTCTTAGAGTTTTTGTCTTCTAAACCATAAATAGACAGCGAGCAATACTAATGAAGAAGCAGCTGTATAAGAAAAGAAACAACCCCAGAAGACTCCTTCTTTATCTTCAAGGCCGCTGCGTATATTCATGCCGAAGAGACCCGCAACAGCAGCAACAAACCCAAAGAAAACTGACAGAATATCAAGGGCTATCTCTGTCTTTAAGAACGCATTTCGAGTTGAAGCTAAGTGCAACTCCATCAGCTGCAGAGCACCATCCAGCGCATCTTCAGTTCGTGCAATCACCTGCACAATACCCACATAACAAGGGTTTAGGGTTTAGGGTTTAGGGTTTAGGGTTTGGGGCACAGGACGAGCTGCATGGAAGCGGGGATTCGTTGCGGGGTTTGGGATCGAGAGAGGGGCTAGGGTTTAGGGTTTAGGGTTTAGAGGCAACAAGGAGACAGCTGCAGCATTCACGCGCGAGATATACGTTAGAGGAGACAGCAATCACTATAACAAAAGGAGACAACCAAAAGGAGACAAAAAGGAGAGAGAGTGGAGACAGATAAAAGCGAGCGACTAACAACTAGCAGCACTACAAGCAGCAGCAGCAGCAGCAACAGCAGCAGCATGAGGAGGAGTAGTAACAGCAGCATCATCATGAGTAGGAGGAGGACGAACAGCAGCAGCAGCAGCAGCAGCAACAGCACCATGAGTAGCAGCAGCATGAGGAGCAGCAGCAGCAGCAGCACGAGCAGCATCATGAGTAGCAGGACGACGCAAGCAACAGCACCAGCACCAGCAGCAGCACAACCAGCAGCAGCAGCAGCAGCAGCAGCAGCACCAGCACCAGCACCAGCAGCACCAGCACCAGCACCAGCACCAGCACCAGCAGCACCAGCACCAGCAGCACCAGCACCAGCAGCAGCAGCAGCAGGAGCAGCAGCAGGATGAGTAGCAATAGGAGGAGTTTGTGTATAATAGTTGCTGGACCTGATAGATAGCTTCAACTTCTTGTTCATAGCATTCTAGCAATATTTCGGCATCTTCAGTATTTGCGTCTTTCTTTGGGGCTTCCCAGAGATCGTCTGCAAGCCAAAACCTGCTAAGCTCTAGTCTAGCCATGTCTCCTTCTTCATTTAATAACTCGCGAATAGCTCTCTGTACACCCCGAGCTTTCTCTTTAGTAGAGCCTAATCTACGTTTTAATTCTGATAATTGACGTAAACGTCGAGTGCTGCTCGGCTCTTCATGCAAATAATGCAGTAAACTATCTGCTGCTTTCTTTAAAGGAGACAGTTGATATAACAGAGACTCGCATGTCTGAGGTAAAGACACACAACCAACATTTATTTATTTATTTATTTATTTATTTATTTATTTAGGGTTTAGGGTTTATTTACTTATTTATTTGTTTATTTATTTATTTATTTGTTTGTTCGTTTGTTTATAATATCGGCATAGAGAGATTACAGGCTATGTACAGCATAAGATATATGCATATAATATATATATATATATATATATTTAAATACATCTACATTATATATATATATATATTTATTATAATGAATGCTTTGTTTATACAGAAGTGAACGCACAATACAGAAATAGCTATACATGTGTGGATTATATATTATATTATTAAAATATTATATAATTATTATATTTTAATATTATATTATATTAATGAGCTTAATAAAAATTATTATTATTATACTATTCACATTATTATTATATGTACTGACAGAGAGAAAAAGAAAGAGAGGACACAGACGCAGAGATAGAGACGGAGACAAACTTACAGAGAGACAGACAAACAGATAGAGAGACAGACAGATGCAAATAAACACAGAGACAGAGACAGAGACAGAGACAGAGACAGAGACAGAGACAGAGACAGAGACAGAGATAGAGACAGAGACAGATAGAGAAACAGCGAGAGGGAGAGACAGAGACAGAGAGACGGAGACAGAGAGAGAGAGAGAGAGAGAGAGAGAGAGAGAGAGAGAGAGAGAGAGAGAGAGAGAGA